ACGGACCCCAGTCTTGAAATTGCACCTACTAGTGGCTTGCATGACCAAAGTTGCAGTAAGAATGTTCATCATCACATCTTTTTTGTCTTTTTTTTAACATCAGGATACAGCTGGTTCTGAGAGGTATGAAGCCATGAGTCGGATCTATTATCGAGGAGCTAAGGCAGCTGTCTTGTGCTATGGTAAGAAGTACATGTCTGACTGTACAATGATTCAATTAATATAGGCTGTTTTTCTACAACTGAAGATCCCCTTTCGTTAACACATTTGCCGCTGAATCCGCACGGGCCATTTCGTACTGCTCAGGGGCGAATGGGTTAATTATTGTTATTTGAGTAATGAGTAGAAAAACCTACCCCTTAAATTTCATTTATTGGTATTGTGAAGTAGTTAATTACTTAGTATTTGATACTAATTTGAAAGGAATGATAATGATTAATTTGTTATTGCTGAATCCCACTACCATTATTCTATATACTATTTTGAAGGTAGTTAAAGCTAGGTACCAGACGGCCTGAGGAAACAGCACTGAAATTGCATACCGATGACTCGTCACTACCCAGATCTTGGTAGTGCTTATGATTGGTTGAAAATTTACTTCATCCAATCAGAAGCACTACTATGTTACATGTACATGTACGACCCAAAGTATTAAAAAAAGATAATTAAAAATTGAAGGAAAGCATGAATAGTTTATATAGCAATCCAGTTCTCTTGATACTGCAATAATGGCCCTGAGAAAAATATAATTGCTCAGGAAATCTCTTTTAATAATTAAAAAGTTAAATGGTGATTGATCAGGGCTACTAATGACAGAGAAAAAAAAGATATTAATAATAACATACTTTTGTGGATTGCAGTAAATGTTGTTATTTCATTTTTTTTTTTTACATTATTTCCACAGATCTCACAGACAGGTCCAGTTTTGAAAGAGCAAAATTCTGGGTAAATGAGCTCAAGACATATGAAGATGTATGTATTAAAAATAATAGAATGCCTCTCTCCTTCTGACTTACGATAAGGTTCAGGAGACTAAAGAAATAAATTGTGAATGAGCAGGGGCGGATCCAGGATTTTTTTTAGGAGGGGGTGCACTCGTCTCTTGCTCTACTTCAACACCAATAAACCACATAGTTTTTTTTTGCCGAATACCAGTTGTATTAGAAAACCGCAGGTCATCTCAGGGGAACGTGCGCACCCCCTGCACCCTCCCCCTAGATCTGCCCCTGATGAGAATCAAACTAGGTTGAAATCACTTTAAGATGAATTAAATTTTAAGCATGTCAGCTGATCATTTTTTGCCCTGACTTCATATTTATGTTATCTTGAATTAAGAGTTAACACAGACTGTACTCGTTTTTTACTATTGACCTTAATCTTGCTTGATAGTGTGTACTACACTGTAAAATGTTGTGTACCTGATGACAAGTGTAAACAGTGAGAGATTTAGCTTGCATTAATATTAATTCACAATGTTTTCTTTTGCAGAATTGTAAAATATATCTTTGTGCTACCAAATATGACATGGTTCAAAATGACAAAAAATTACGCCAAGTAGACTACCATACAACAACAGATTATGCAGATGGTATGTGGTTTTCTCGATGGAAAAAAAATCATAGAGACTCCAGCCATTACTCAATATACCATAATGCATCCAAAAGCATTATTTTGAATTTCCTGCTCTTCATTGGCAAAATAACAGGCCCTTTTCGCACATTCTTGAAAAGTCCTTGAATTTTGGGGGAAGTCCTTGAAAAGTCCTTAAATTTCTGTGCAAGTCCTTGAAAAGTCCTTGAATTTTCTCCAACTTTGAATGTAGTGGCCTGGAAAATCTAATATGGTCCTTGAAAAGTCCTTGAAAAATGTTTGCATTTTTTTGTATGAACCTTGAATAAATACTGGGAAGCTGAAACTCAAATTGCTACTGAGAATAACTTGGTAAGTGTTAGGTGGTGCTTTTCTTGGCTTTTCTCCATAGTACTAAACTCTGCCTGTACTGATTTGCCCAGTAAATAATTATACATTGTGTACACTGTGTGAATCATTTACATGTGTATCTTGCTTGGCAAAAATGCACTTACTGTAGATAAATATTAAAACAATAGTTAATTAATTCCTCAGATTATTCATTTTAGATGACTGGACAACCTTGTTGTATATACCCTACCTGTATATTAAGTCCAGGACACTAAAGGTTAGAAGAATGGCAGTGAGATTAACTTTTGTTCGTTTTTTTTGCTCAGAGATAAATGCGAAAGTTTTTGAGACCTCAAGTAAAACTGGGCACAATGTTGGTGAGATGGCTTTGTGTTTTATGAATTGCTACTGGAAAAAGGCCCATTTAAAGTACATTGTATGGTGGTAAAGTTCATTACCAACTCAAGAGGGGGAAACTGGACCAGACATTGGGTTAAGAACCCAATGATTATGGCCAGGGGTGCTACTAAGACTGTCAAACTACTGCCCTCTTCAAAGGCCACATTTTGTATACATTGCTACTTGTAATAGTCTCATTTAAGGTACATTGTATGTTGGTAAAGTTCATTACCAACTCAAGAAGGGGAAACTAAGACTGTCAAACTGTGGCACTTTTGAAATGACACATTTTGTATACCCTGAAGAAGGTTTGTACACTGAAGGAGGCAGCTTTGCTGAAATGTTGGTTTAAGATCTTATAACATCGTCGATTTTATGATTTTCACTGGAGCATTTTTTTATACCCCCTCGTCAATGTTCTGATGTCTGAGAATGCAACTGGTGTTTTGTTGTTCCTGACAAGTATCTATGGTTGGAAATAACTTTTTGTTAGAATTTTGTTGTCCTCACTTTTTTCCTAGTGCTACAAAGATGTACAAGTGAAAATAATAATGATATAGGAATGTAGGGATTTAGCTGTTATGAACCAAACTTTGATGTCTTAGACAGTTATCAGTATGTTTCTGTATCAAACCTCAATTGTGTTTAAAGTTTGAGCGATATTATTGATGAGCTTCAATTGAAATGTAATCCCAATATTGTGCTTTCATGTCAATATTTCTTTAGATGAATTGTTTTTTGAACTGGCCCAAGATTATTCAAGAGAAGAAGAACCACCTGATCCAGGTGAGTGAGTCGAGGGTGGATTTATTGTGGTGTCTAATTTTTTGTTATTTAGAATTGTGTAGTGCCAGGAAATATATCCATGGGCAGGATTACGTAGACCCCCCCAGGAATTAAGTTTCCCTAGGGGTTGGGGTCTACAGGCAAAGCCCTATGAAGTGGGGGTATGGTTACGTTTTATGTGACCACACATTGTGTCATACATGTTCTTTTCTTATAAAAGGTCCTTATGAGAAAATCCAGGCAAGAACCATTGCACAGAAAATTCTTGATAGTTTCCACAAAGAACACAGAAATCATCCATCTGCAAAGTACAGGAACCACACAGTAATTTAAAATTTTACCTTTAAAAATAAGTTTAATTAAGTCTTGAAAATTACATTATACTGTAATATTAATCAATTTAGTAGCTAACTACTATCTCTTACTTTCATAAACCAGTTGCTCTAGATTAATTTATTTTATTTAACCATTTTCCTTTTTTTCTCTGTTCTAAAGGAGAGATTGAAAGAGACGCATTGGAATTAACCGAATTTCCACAGCGACATGGAAGAGCAGCCTGTTGTGGTATTAAATTATGATGTTGGGCAATCTCAGCAGTTGTACAGATGAGCAGGGACTTCCCAAGAAATAGAAAACTATTATTTTTTTAATCTATCATATTATGAAGAAATTTAAGATGAAATATAGAGCTGGTTAGCGGCATGAATAGTTCAGTTTCCTGGTAAATATGATTTATATAGAGAGGTAGCTATATGTATAATGTGTCTGTCTTGTGCTCAACGGAACTGAAGTGAACAATTACGTGTATTTATGTCTTCATTGCGAAAAATATTCCAAGGCAACAGTTGAATTAATTCCTCATTTTTATCTCCTTGTAAGTTCTCCTTATCAATTTGTATATTCTGTATTATGTTGATCAATGTCGGGCTATGATAGGTGTAGGAGGACTGTATTTTTTTTTCTTCTTGGCTTTTTTTAAATTGTTGACACGACTGTGTTGATATTATTACTGGAACGTTGTAAACATTTTCACCCCGTACGTTTTACGGGTGTCAGTAAAACGCGGGGTTGGGGTTTAGACCGGGACCGGCGTCTATCTTTTTTTTTTTAAAGAATGCTATCTTAGGGTAAGGGTTAGGGGTAGGTTAGGGTTAGTGTCAACCCTAACCCTCCCCCGATCCCGGCCCCGACCCCGACCCGACGCCGTATTTTACACCATAGCTGGCCATGGAAGCAGACAAGACGTTTTTAGAGCTTGATTAGTTGTGTTAGTTATCTTAGTCCTTGTACTCCCTGAGTCAATAATGCTGAAATGAAGTAATCATTCTGGAGTCTTATATTTTGAGTCTGAATTAAATCCACATGAAACACCTCCTGTGATTTAATGAAATCTAATTTCATGTCCTTTTGATGAGCTAGTTAGTAAGTTCAAAGGGTATGTTTTTGGTTATAAGTAAGTCTGGTTTATTAATAAAATCGTCGCGCTTAGAAATAAGCGAATTACGAAATTATTTTACAAAGATATAGATATTAATGAAAAAAAAAATAATGGGAGATGGTCCACGACTCTACGAAAACGCAAAGTCATCTCCTTGTACTTTTTGGGGTTTGTTTTACAGCATGGGGCATATATTGAGTGAAAGAATTGACTTTGGCCTAATATCGACAATGTCCCTTGATTTGTTATCAGGTAGCTTAAGCAAAAATAACGGTAAGGTCAAATGAGAACGCGAGAGCGCGCGGAGCAGCCTGTGAACACAGACGTATTTCCGGTAGAAGTGTTGAACGGAAATACGTCTGTGTTCGCACGCTACGCGCGGAAAGGACTGTACTCGACTTCCGCAAGTCCGCAGGATGTAAGACCCCTTGACGTAAGACCCGAGGAGGTAAAACCCATGGATAGAGGAGCCTTGAAGGTAAGGCCCATGGACGTCAGACCACCTGACGTAAGACCCGTGAACGAGAGACTCCTGGATGTAAGATCCCAGTTTGTAAGACCCGTGGATGTGAGACGTAAGACCCCTGAAAGCATGGCCTCTGGACGTAAGACCCCTGGATGTAAAAACTCCTATTCATAAGAACACTGACCGTGAGACCCGTGGATGAAAGAACCCCTGGTCATAACGCCCCTGGTCGTAAGACCACTAGACGTAAGGTCCCTGAACGTAAGGCCACTGGACGTAACACCCTTGGACGTACGACCACTGGACGTAAGACCCCTGAGCGTATAAAGACACCGGGATGTAAGACCACTAAACTTAACACTGCTAGACGTAAGACCTTTGGATTTAGGACCCCTTAATGAAAGAACCCCAATGTGTAATGAATGGCACTGAACGTAAGGCCTCTGGATGTATGAACACATAATCGTAAGCCCCCTGATCGTAAGATCCCTAAAAGTAAGACCTCTGCATGTAAGACCCCTGAACGTAAGACCCAAAAATGTAAGACACCTGGATGTAATACCTCTGGATGTAAGAAGCGTGCACGAAGACCCCTGGAATATAAGATCCCTTTTATGTTCGACCGCTGGACGTAATACCCCGGGATGTAAGACCCCTGGACGTACGATCAGAGTTAAATTTTAATCCGAGGTTGTTTTTCTTTTGTTAAAAAAGCATTTTATCAGATAATTTTCCCTATTGTTTTTAGTGCATCAAGTATTAAACTTGTAGCAAAAAAGAATTAAACTGAATTGGCTTTTATAGCCTTCATTTCTGAATTCAAATTTCACACTAACCCTGGGTTATCTTTACTCAGCTTTGAACATCCCGGCCCTGGACGTAAGACCCCTGGTCGTAACACCACTGGACGTAAGCCCTTAACATAAGACCACTGGACTAACACACCCGGACGTAAGACCTCTGCATGTAAGACCCTTGGACGTAAGTCTCCAGAACTGTAAAACCTCTGGACTCCTGGATGTAAGACGCCTGGAGATAAGATCCCTAAACGTAAGACCCCTGGACTTTGGACAAGTTGATGTACGACACCTGGATGCAAGATCCCTTGATGTAAGACCACTGTACGTAAGACCACTTGATGTAAGACCCCTAGATGTAAGAACCCTGGATGAAATACTCCTAGACATAGAACAACCTGAACGTAAGACTCCAGGATGTACGACCGCTGGACGTAAGGCCCCTGGACGTAAGACCTATGGATGAGACTCCAGAAGGTACGATCCCTGCATGTAAGACCAACGGACGTAAGCCTCCAACGTAAGCCTCCTGGAATCCCGGATGAAAGACCCCTGAACGTACGACTCCTGGATATAATAACCCTGGATTTAAGACCGTTTGACCTAAGACACCTGGACGTAAGACCTACGTATGTAAGACTCTGGACGTAAGACCCCTGGAGGTAAGACCAGCTTGACGTAAGACAACTTGACGGAAGACCCCTGGACGTAAAACCCAAGGACGTAATACCCCTAAACGTGACACCCCTAGATGAAAGACCCCTCGATGTAATGTGTAACGGGAGGAAATTTCAGGTGTGTCAAGCGGCTTTTCGGCCTGGCAAACCAAATTAGTGGGAAAGTCGAACTAGGAAAACAACCGAACTAAAGCTCTTCGCGAGGGCGCGAAAATTATCAAAATTAATAGTGATCTGCTAATGGAAGTTATTGACGGGGGAAACTGCAAGTCGGTAGAGCGACTGGCTCGCTGCTGGCACTCGTTACTACTGCCAGAGGTACAGGGTCTAATTTCCACGTCCCAAGGTACGAAGGTTGGACAAGAACTGAGACTTTTCTCTAATGCTGCAACTTCTTTATTGTAGAGTAAACCTCGTAGATAGTACTTCACACGTAATCTCGAAGGTAATGGTGCAGGTAATCGCAGGCTCGGTAATCGATTTACAACAGTTTAAGCACAGTAAACACAGGTGTTCGATTATCACAAAGGAACAAAAAAACCTAGCCTGCGTAGCAAGCGTTTCCGTTTAGTTTCGGAGCAAAAAAACCGAGGAATGGGATTTTCGGTTTTGACCGTGCGAGAAATGAGACGAGAGCCATTTTTCGCGCGGTGTTTGACTCTCGTTCCCCGCTCTTTGCTCCTAAACCACACGGAAACGCTTTCTACGCGGGCTATTTTCTCTCACCCCCCAAAAAAACTTAAATAGCGAATCGGTACGAGTCTGTGGTCGTCCCTCAGCTGTGGGATAGCCTGCCAAAACATCCGTTTCTCCTCGCTCTTCGCCGCCGGGAACGTTTCGCGAGTTTTTCGCGAGGAGAATTCGTAAACAACAGCTAAAACAACGTAACTACTCCGTCGACCAATCAGCGCTTCTGACCGGATTCCGGACAGATTTTACGTCATCAGCATGGAATTTCTGTCGCTGAGTCGCAGACGTTATGTATCGGTCAAATCGAAGCTTCAACATGTCCCCCCCCCGGGCATACCCCGGGCATTTGACACCTTTGCCGTCCCGGGGAGGAGGGAATTTGATTATCAGGGTCTTCCAGGGGGTGGGGAATTTGATCCCCATGCTCTAGGGGTGGGGAATTTGAACTGCACCCTCGATTTCATGTAAAATCTTTTGCGTGGCGAGCTATGGGGAACGCGGTGTTAGAGGATTTTCGTGGAAAAGATTGTGCCTTTGTGGCCAATTGGTTACGAGGAAAGGGCTTAGGCGTATTTGAAGTATTTACATTTAAAATTTTTAATATTGGATTCAGGCTTTGAAAGTGTGAATGTATTTTACTGTTGTGTTTACAATGAAATACAATAACCTGTAGCGGCGATTCAGTACAACAGCATAAAATAAAATAAAATAAAAAGCTCAGGTCAACCACTTTGACCTACTGCAAGTATGTTAATTAATAAGGTGAGCGATGATGCATGTCAGTGAAATGGTCATGATGTAGTAATCTCAATAGGTGGGATCTTTTTTATAGAACGCTTTGTATGTTGCATGAGAAAGAAAAGCTGAACATTCAGTGACCTTGTAGCAGCGATTTCCGTCGCTTTGCACGAGACTTTTGTTCGTAGTAAATACGCTAACAGTATTTCTCAGTTTTTGTTATATTTATAAAGATTTTTTTCGACAACTGAAGGCGTTTCCGCCGTCCTTCTGTCATTTTTGTGCCAGTGAAATGTCCCCGGGGTGGGGGCATTTGATCACCTGAATGGACCGCAGTGTGGGGCATTTGAACGGCATTTTGGCCCCGGTAGGGAGGAATTTGAACAATAATTTTCAAAAAAGTCAAATGCCGGGGGGGTTGCCCGGGGGGAGCATGTTGAAGCTTCGATTTGACCGATACATTACTGCGCGCGAAACGTCCCCATCGGTGAAGAGCTAGGAGAAACGGATGTTTTCGCAGGCTATCTTTGGGACTATATATCCCCAAGAGCATTTGCAAAGAAAGCCTTACCAATATTGGGGTACAAGTAGTTCAACTCCCCCTGATCATGCATCGCGTAATATAACGGGGCAACCTTCCATTCGCACCCCCCTTGCCATCCCCCTCCGTCTCATCCTTGGCCAAGGTGTCGACAAGACCGAACTGTATCTTGGGAAGAATGTACGAATGATCTGGATGCTAATGTTGTGTTTGCCTTTCTTTCTTCTCCTGCCTCTCAAAACCTTTCGAAAAATATCCACTTTCTTTAGTATGAGAATTTCGACGAAGTCGCTGGTGGAGCAAGGGTTGTTCTTCTTTTGTCTTGTGTTGATATTATCCCATGCCTTCGTCCCAGAGCGAGACGGAATGTGCCACAAATCTGAACAGTCTTCCTGATGACGTTTTGCTGGCCATTTTAAGTTTCTGTGACACCAAAAGTCTGTCAGTCTTATCTCGCGTAAGCAAAAACCTTTATCGTCTCTCCAAGGATGATTATGTGTGGAGAAAAATTGCTTTGCGGTGTGTGAACGTACGTCCTTCGGACCGAACGTAAGTAGATCTGTAGTGTTTGTAAGGGTATAACATTACAAAATTAATCCCTTAAGATAAATAAAGAAATAATTTTTAAAAATGTGTATTTCTCAGCAATCACATAAAATAATTGTAAAATCTTAATAATCAAATGTTAGTTGCTAGTCAATATATATCTATTCCTTCTGAAAGATCCAGCTGCTACCAGCTACTGGATCAAGAAACTCGCATATTTCAAGACCAAAGATCAAATTTCTTGATTTTACACAATTGCTTATCATGATCCAGTGATCCGTCTGGAGAGTAGCTGCTGTGCATCCTGGGACTCACACATGTATAAAACTATGAGTCTCAGGTCGAAGATTATGAGTCCCAGATCCACTTATGCTACAAAAAAACAAGGTCGGGACCACTCAAAAAAAGTTGTATGGTACATATACAATTTTTGTAATAAAATACTCTGGACTTTCCACAGGGTCATAGGCACCTATGGTGTTTAAAAAAAACCAGTATTCTTACAAAAGCTTACGATACCATACAACTTTTTGGGCTGGTCAGAACCAAGTTTTTCTGCTGTGTAAACTCCACCATCCCCAAGTAAAGTCTAGCTACATGGGTTCCTCACACGTGCATTGAAATCCAAGACGTTTAATATTTATGATACTTTTTTTGTTCATTTTTTTTTTTTTTTTTTACTTCTTTTATTCCCCTTTCCCAAGAAATATTTTTTTATAATTTTTTTTTTGTGGACAACAGACCAGAACGTACAAATTTTGTGGCTGGATAAAACAAAATTCTACTTCTGTGAAAACTCCCACATCCCCAAGTAAAATCTAGCTACATTGGTTCCTCACCCGTTCATTGAAATTCAAGACTTTTTATTTTTTTGATACTTTTTTTTTTCCTTTTTTTTTTTTTTTTTTACCTCTCTAATGCCCACTTCACAAGGAACATTTTTTGGTAAATTTGATGCTGAGGACACCAGACCCTTTACTAAGGACATGTTTTTATACTCATTAGACATGGCTGGAACTGGAAGGAGATCTTTAGAGTTTCATGGAATTGGACACATGGATACTGTAGAGACAGGAACATTCTGAAGTTTAAGTGCAAGTCAGTTCAGAATTATTTGATCATTATTTATAAGACTTATATTTATTGGAATCATACTACATAAAAAGTGTTCATGTTAGTATGTATGTACAGTCAACTCTCTCAAAGACGGACATCTTTTGGACTGACACTTCTGTCTGTCCTGGAGAGAGTTAATAAAGGGAGTAAAGAAAGGCTTGGACCATTCTAGGTGTCTGATTTACAGTCTTGTCCATCTTGTAGAGGTGTACGTTAAGAGAGAGTCAACTGTACTATTTCAATCTCTTTTTCTTTTTATCCATGCTGCTGAGTGTGCATGATTGTGTCGATTAAGGAAGTGAAGCTATTGCTGTTGTAACTGTGTACAATTTAAGATTAACCCTATGAACTGTGAACTTATATTTGCATCAAGTAATTATTGTAAACTACAGCCATATCTCTAAATATGGTAATAAATGATAAACATTTGCCTCTGAAACAGGAATGAATTAAGGTAATTCCCTTGAAAATGGTGGCACTAGCCAGCGTTTTTTCAAATTTTCCACAATTGGAAGTCGTATCCCACACAAAACCAGCAGATCTGTTTTACGAAAAAAAAGTCTAACTGCACACTATTTTATCGTTTGCAAAGTCTGTTTTCAGTCTGTAGCAGATGCTACTGCCTTCATCATCCTCAAAGATGTGTTCCTGCAGATGATAAACAGATGAAAAAGAGATCTGCACGTGGTCTGTAAAGTCTACAGAGTCTGCAAGCCATCTTAAGCGCATGTGTTCATCAATTTGAAACAACTAAGACTCCCCGGCCAGGCCCATTCGCTGTTTTGTCAATAAATTTAAACATTAGCTACATCCAGTTTATTATAAAAAAAATCAGAAAATTACGATACTTTCATTTTGTTTTATTCACTCTCAAGACTATGTACATGTATGTAGTTTTTCAAAGTACATTCTGCCGGTAAATCATGTGAGTTCCATAACTGTTAACATCACTGAGTACTTACCAGTTTTACACAGCAACATTGAATGAACACCATGTGCCTCATCCTTCATTACAGTTAAACTTAACTCAAAATAGTCATCATAATCATTATAACAATCTGGACTACATAAAGGGGCCCTCACACCTCTTTTTAGACAAATGTTGAAAATCACTGCCACCTTTGATGTGGCAATGTTATATAATATGCAGTAGGTGAAGCGCAGTACAAAACAACGGAATTACTTTAATAATGTTGTCAAGTTATACCAGTTAGTAGATACCCAATTTGAGCAATATGTCAATTTATTTTTGTACGAATGTGTATATCATCACTCTTCAATGAAAGAATGATAGCCTCTCCTTATGTCAGCTGCAACAACCTTGATCATATCTCTGCATGTTTAATCTTCAGTCTTATGCCATGGATTCAGCTTGAGAGGTCTAAACAACTATTTGTTGCACAAGCTGCTGATGTCATTGTGTATCAGAACAGAAGACGCAACAACAAGCAATCCTCATGGGAGCCCATCAAGACCTTCAGGGGTCACCATGGTGATGTCAGTAAATTTGTTATTGCTGGTGATCAGTTGGTGACTTGTAGTGTGGATAATTCAATTCGCACATGGAGCCTACAGACAGCTGAATGCGATGGTCTGTTTCATGGTCATACTGGTGTTGTACACAGCGTAGACTGTTTTGATGATGTGATTGTGACAGGATCGAGGGATAGAACTGTCAAGGTGATGATTTCTATTTACTTATATGTATGTTGTAAAATTCCTTCCATTAGTGGTCAGTTTTTTAAAAAACTAAAGATATCTCCAAAATACCTACATGCTTAAGTGCAAAAAGTATGAAAGCAAATAAATTTTAAAACAATTCAAAGTGCAACTAACCCCCCAAAATGTGTTTCGCTTAAGTTTAAACAATATCTTAAAAATTATTGTCCTTGCCCCAGTTCAACAGGTGGATAGCGCTATCTGATGGATAAATCTCTAATACTTACTTGGTGGATAGTGATTTAACCCGGTGGATAGCGCTATCGAGCTTTTGAACAACCGGGTCCTGATGACTTGTGGGAAATATTTATCAAGGTTCGAAAAATCTCCCCCATTTCCACGGCTGTTTAAAATTATGTCCCTTTACCGCTTTACCGAGCATTTGTCTACTATGTGTAATGCTTTGTCTTTCTATTTTCTTTAGAATAATGTTTGAGTGTGCTTAAATCACTATAGGTGTGGTCCCAAGAGAGCAAGTCTTGTGTTCACACTATTCATGTCGAGGATAACATTTGGTCAGTGTGCATCAACCCCAGCATCAGGTACAGTGTACTTTACTCATTAGTAATCATGGTGTTTCTAAATTGTACCAGTATCCATGCTTTCTCACCTCAGGGGCACCCAACAAGAATATAGTTCAAAACCATAGCATTGTTAAACGTATTTTAGTTAAATGGTAGATATAGGCATTTTTTATCCCCTAAAAAATTTTTCATCTGTTCGGATTTCCTAGCTGAAAGTCTAGTGATCCAAAAATTAAAGAGATCAAAACTTACCTTGTCAAAAATTTCAGCTTGAAATAGACTCCCAAAAATTCTAGGTGACCTTTTTAGGGTAAAAATCCACTAAAAGGGGGCAATTATACCATTTTTTAGACGTTCAAAATCTTAGGAGAGGCAGGCAAGCAAGAAAGTTTACAACAAATGTTCCAAAAATTCTAGATCTCAAATCCTCTTCCGAACAGATATTTTCCGCAAATTGACGTTGGGTGCCCCTGTCACCTGCCCCTCCCCCTCCCTTTTACAGTTCAAGGCTTGCCCTGGGTACTAAAGCATTGACCGCCAGTGGGCTCATTTCCTATGTGATACTAGTTCATTGATGTGCAAATAAAGTACGATATCCAAGATTGCTGCCAACAGTTTTCTACAGATAACTCAGAATTGTGCTGATTTCTATATAATATTAATTGTAACTCACAAAATAATAGATTTCCTCTCCAATTCAGTAAATGTTAATGAAGTTCATGCACAGTGGAACCTCTATTCAGGGGACACCCTCAAGACCAAGGGAAGTGTCCCCTGAAGGTGTCCATTGGATAGAGGTGTCCCAATAGAGAGGTTCCGCTGTAATGTATATGTTCTGGTTCAATTTTATCCTTGGTTTAAATTTTCTTTTCTTTTGTCTCAAACTCATTATCACACATTACCATATACCCAAAAACAAAAGAAAAGAAAATTTGAACCAAGAATAAAATTGAACCACAACATATATTCTTGATTAGACGTAACAAGGAGTTGGTCTCCTGTAGTGAAAAGTTGAGTGTATTTTTCAACTGTGGCTGCCGGAAGACCGTCAGGCCTTGTAAGGGGTAACCAAGTATTATGGGATCACAAAGGAAACATTGGCATTATTATATGGTTGTTATAGTGTGTATTTTGTTTTAGGTGTGTTGCAAGTGGTGGTAGTGGTCATATAAAGGGAGTATCGCCATTGCAACTTTGGGATATTGAGAGGTAAGGGTGATGTATCTTTAGATGATCAATCAGGCCTTGTCACTAAGATTTCAAGTTGCTGCATAAACACAACAAGTAGGTGGGGAATCCAACAGCTAGGGATTTCTTTTGGTTTTATTTTTCTTCTATTTTCTTGTGAAAGTTAGCCGGGGACCATGTTCATAGTAGCCAGGGGAAATCCCCAGCCCCTGGCTCTTAAGGACAGCCCCGACTAATATTTGAACATTACGTTATTTTAATTGGTCAAATTTGATAATATTATACTTGGGCATAGTCTCTTTGTTTTGTTCTTACAAAAAGCAGCTGCTGTACAAATAAGTAAACATAACTGTCATTCCAGTCAGGAGTTATGTCTGTTACTTCCACTGGAAAATTCTTCTTACCACAGTCAACTCTATTTACGATGGACACCTATGGTACCAGCACCAAGTGTCCATCATAGAGAGGTGTCTGTTAAGAGAGAATCAGTACTAACATGTATGTTCTCTGGCATTGTACTTGCAGTGGAAAACTGATGACCAGTCTGGTCTCTGATGTAACTAAACTAGGAGCTGGTGTTCGCGGAATGAAGTGGGAATCACCGCACACTCTCCTGTCCTGTGGCTATGATACCAATATCAGGCTTTGGGACATAAGGCTAAATAATTATAGGTGAAACATTCTCTTCTTCAAGTTGCTAATTTCTCATAATAATATTATTTTATTGATTAATCTAATGAGACAAAGAAAGTCATTGGTTGGTGTTTCAATTGCAAGAGAAGACCCCCTTGAATTAATGTTGCCTTGTGATCTGGGGCCCATTTCTCAAAAGTCCCGTAAACTACAATTATCTCAGTCCCAAAGCCAAATATTTCAGTAAAAATCTCAAGGATAAAAAGTGCGAAACGTAGCTAACAAACCAGTCCAATTTCTTTTTGATTAATAACTGATAGTTTTATCATAATTTCTGAAAAAGTTGGAAACCTCAAGTTTTTGGGAAAGCCTCAAAGCGGCAAAGTAAGATTTACTCAGTCAGAGTTTGGAATACTCTGTGCACTGCATAACCTTAGCAAAAGAAAGAAAAAAAGGAAAAAGCTAACTCTAGGGTCACATTTTACAATGTCACGAGGTCCATGAGCTTATGAGTCATGTTTAGCCTGTCAACTCTTTATCTCCAGTCAGTGTGTGTGCACACTTTCCTGGCATTTAATTTGCAGCAACTATTTTTTATTTTCAGCAACTTTATTTTTAATCTGCAGTTACTTTTGGGGTTCATAAAAAAAAAAAATCGCAACCACTTTTCAAGGACCACCTACCAGGAATTTAATTTCACAGATTGCACAAAAATGCACTTTGTCAGTCCATTCTAACAGGACTTTAAGGCTTAAACTGTTTGCTCCTCCAACTTCTCCAAAGTTTTCAGTTCACTCATCTTAGGTTATTATTGCATAAAACAAAAGAGGCTTTCTGTATTAATTTTATCACCTTTAACTTCTCTTCGCTACGATTTATATTCTGTCTTGGACAAGCAAAAAGCATTAAAAATACTTTCCAGGCCACTAGATTCAAAGTTGAAGAAAATTCAAGGAGTTTTCAAAAGCTTGCACTGAAATGTAAGGCCTTAAAGGAAAAAATGAAATTCAAGGACTTTAATTTTCCAGGATGTCCCCTAAAATTCAAGGACTTCAAGAATGTGCAAACCCTGACTTTTTTATTTGGCATGTCCCCTATGGGCCACTGTACTAATATTTTAAAGTAAATTTCTGATGATGCAATGAACTCTTTTCAGTGTCTCATCCTGTGTTTTAAAGTGGGAAGACCCTCATGATTCAGTAGTGTACTGCATTGATTCTGATAACAAGTGGATGGTAATCAGTGGAACCAACAGATATGGAGTGGTAAGTAATAAAAATACATTAGATTATACAGTGAAATCAAAAGGCGTTGCCTCTTCCATGCATGATACCAGGATGTTTCTGTCTACCATTTACTGGTAGCCCTGGGAGTAAAGGTACAGTTTCCTTTGTTCCTTGCCAGAACTCTGGGTGTTAGGGTGTGTACAACAAATATTATTTTTTACAAGTTGGTGTGCAGAATCATTAATCTAGAATTGAAGCATTGTCACTGTCATAGACAGCTTAGTTTCTTAATGTTTGTATTTTATAAAGGATTGGCTAGAAAAATAATATAACAAATAACAATTAATTCATTATTAAAATTGTCAATTAACTTAATGTGAAAGATGATTTATTTTAGAGACTGAATGTATGAACTTATGTAACAATGTAGCAACAAATTCTGCAGGATTGTCAGTTTTCTTTTAATTGCATTTAACAGTGTTGCATTATAAAACCCTAAAAAGGGAAATTTTATGCAAATTAGGAAGTAGTCAGTAGCTCTTTTGATCTACTGCCTACATTTTTTGACTCACATAAGAATTCAAGTGAATCTTATTAGTCTATAGCTACTGTAGGCACAAAACTAGGGGTATTATCACCTCAACATCACCCATTTATTTTATTTTATTATCTCTCTTTGATTAAAAAGGTACGAATATGGGACAAGAGATTTAGAAAGAATGTTCAGGTACAAAATATACTGGTATATATATTTTTATTGAAAATATTTCTCTGTTTCCGATTGGCTCAAATCGCTCAGCTAATTCTTTACAACCAGCTAGTTTTGGCCAAATTTGGAAGAAATTTGTGATATATCCTAGAAAAATCCATGACGACAATAGCTGCTTGTGCACTGAGGCTATGTAATTTGTCGGACATTGCAGTGCACAGCCTCATTCAATAATAAATTATTATTGATTAAGGCTGAATAATTATGATCTGAAGAATTATGGAGATTGAGGAGGGCATTGTTGGCCGAGGTAATTTATTTTAAGTAGTATTAGTAATGATGATGATGACAATGGAAAATTTATTTATCGGCAAATATATTGCTCTTCACTTGTCTGGCACTGATCTACTCTAACATACTGAGGAGACAGTTAATTTGTTGGCATGAGAAATGTCTTGTGGATGAGATTAGTGGTATTATACTACTACATGAAAAATTACTGCAATTTGATTGGCTTAGAGCAGTGGTATTTCAGCTTAATTTGAAATACCTACATGTGAAAATTACAAACCTTTGTGGGTAGTAGTATAAACAAATAATAGCATGATCTGTGCATGATATTTGGCATAAATACCACTCTAATATTTCAAAATTGTCTCAAATTTCACTTGCCTAACGACTCGTGAAATTACGTATAACAATTTCCAAATATCACTGTGGTATTTATGCCAAATATCACTACAAGTCATGCTATTACCTATACTAACTTAGTATTAATTACAGTGGTTACACGTAATATTAGTGGTTACACGTAAAAAAATACATGTAATTGTAAAAAGTGGTTTCATGTTTCAAATTGCAGATGTACTATGCTGGGATGAACTCTTTAAGTCCTGTATACTCACTGGCATTTAACAGAACATCTCTATTTGTTGCTTTAGCCAGTGGAGTTAGAGTCTTAGATTTCAGAGTGTAAGTCTTGTGTGAGTATGATAGATGTGTTTGTTTGTATTGCCTAGAGAACTTTTCAATTATTGCCTGCCAAAACTAGATCAGTTTGATTATGGAGGGACTGTGGATTTAGCCAAACATTATCCCCATGATTTTTCTCTAATGAATTAAATTATAAGTCAACCTTGGCATATCCACATACCTTTCCTCCCTTTTTTCAGTTTCGTTTGATATTACTTAGAGTTCTGATTGGTACTGACAAAAATGAGTTTTGACCTTTCTATGTGGTGTTTTTATGGTATCTCAAGGCTGTTTGGTAAAGAAAATTGAAGGGATCCTGTCCAGCGTATTATTTCTGTAAAAAATAACTGAGATTTTCTAGTTACCTGGGAGCAAGCGTTAGGTACCAGCAGCCACTGGGTACTGCCAGCAAAGCACAGCAGAGCTTCGTAACTAATCTTAACTGCATTTACTATAAATTGTATGCAGTAAATTATTTTCTCCAAATAAAATGTGTGACCTGTTACCTATAAGACCTCCTGCAATCTGAACCTCATTTTAAGAAAGTGACCACCTCTGGAGGTGAGTGTTGTCACATGCATGCCCTATGGTGTGTACAAATCATTCTTTGCAAACTCTTTTCCTTCCAATTTTTTTTTTGCTGACTTAGCAGTTTTCAATCTCAATGTATCATTCCAGAAAATATCCATACCTCCCCCACAGATGGTCAATGGAATATCTCAGACAGTATAAACTTTGAGACTGAAGGCCGAAGATTTCCTAGTCTCCTTTGCAGCCGTACATTTGTAGTGTCTCGCACAATGCATGATGATCCTAAAAACGACTGCGAAGGAGACTATAAAAGATTCCCCTTAAAATTTGACGGTTGGTTATGTTTTGTACTCAAAGACAGCTCTGTATTCGAATATGTACATGTTCAGAAGTCTGATGTGAATAAATGACATTTGCAAGGTGTACGTGTTTCTTGGTGTTTTTAGGTTCGCAAGTTGTTCACGGAGTTCTTGTTGAAATGAAGTTAATGAAGAGTGTTCTATTAAGTTTACACACTGTAGGTTAGAACTATTGGCTTTTAAACCAAGAAAATGTATCACCCATAAAAAAGGTGGGTCTAAAGATGTGAGTGATTTTTAAGCAGTAATCAGTCAAAAATTTCCAAATGCTGCAAAAAAGTGGAAATTATAGGAAATTCCAGGGGGTGGGGGTTAGATGAGAGCCCCCCCCCCAGGAGTAGAAATTCTGAGGGGTTACAGGGGTCTTATCTGAGACCATCCATGTTGAGGGGGGGGGGGGGGGGAATCAAACAAAAAAGGGGCAAAATGGGGTTTTTAAACTCCCCCAAGATTTTAAGGTACAAAATTTTCACACAAGTTTAAAGATAGGTTTTTTTTGGTGGCTTTAAACACAAACGTTTGCTTCTTTTGGATTGTGGTGTTATAAAAAAAAAAAAATGGAGATTTTAGGAAATAAATCACAAAAAAATTACAAAGGGGTGAAAACAGTGGGAAATTTGTGAGATAGGGGGGGGTGGGGGGTGGGAGGCGGCCCCCCCCCCAAGGGTGACACTTTGGGGGGGTTAAGGGGGGTGTATCTGAAAGCAGCCGTGTTTGGGGGGGGGGGGGGGCATGCAACTATAGAATGGCACAATATGGATTGTTAACTTCCTCTAAGTATTATAGGTACAAATATTTGCACATAGTGTACAGTATGATGTTTTTAGAGTACTGTAGACACTAACGTGTACTGCTTTGAGCATGTGCTGTAATAATAAATAGAAATAAGGATAATTATATTTAAGTTCACTGCTGCATTAATAATGTTATGAAACAATAATTGTTGGTTCAATACTTCAGCTATTTGCATTTTGAGATGTGAAGGACTTGAATGATCGAGTTTGGAGAGCGTTCATTGGCAACACACTCTTATTCTTCATATCGCAACATACATGTACACCATGCTGACACATGTTTTCTTCAGAACTCATAATCGGAAATCAAGGGGCAGCAACTCAGGATGTTGGAATTTCTATGGCAAACATTTATTTTTTAAATAAGAAAATTATGGGGGAAAAGAGACCCTGGTTCTCCAAGGATGTTGTAAACTATACACAATCTCATTTAAAAACTAGCTCTCTTTGTAAATAATGATTTAAAAATAGTAAAATTCGAATTCCCAGTTCTTATGTTAACTCTACTATTAGTTACCAAAATTTTAAAACTGGTCCCTGAACCTGCATGAAACAGTATCATATGAAAGGATATTGAGGTAGGATGTTTTCTTATTTACATGTTTTGTTTATGCCATTGTTATTCTGCAAGTGACCTCAATTAGAAGGGAGCAAACAGAGGAAGCAAGCTCTCAGTTAAAACCACCCTTTCTCCTTAAACTGTTATTTTATTATACATTCAAAATATTTCCCCAGTAATTTCTGATTGGCTTAAAGCAGGTGCATAATTCACCATAACCAGTTACTGATGACCAAATTTGGAAGAATTTGGTGTTTAACGAGGAAATGACATCAATAATGCAGCCTTCTACAGGTTAATGCACCGTTAGCCGAGAAGACCTGGGGACGAGATTGAGTTGTTTTTGTTGTAAAAACTAAAATGGTGGACACTTCACTCGTTTCAAGAGTAAGAACTACAGCTGTAACTAGGCAAAATAATGGCTAAAAACATGACAAAAACAGCAAGAAGACAACTCGGAGGGCGACATCTGCTATTTGGAGAATATTTGCAGAGCTGGACAAACCTAAACGTAAACTATCGAAGATAAACTTAACATTGCTGTAGGTAAGCTTGTTTTAGCTATGTTTTTGAACTAGGAATTATTTTGAATGAATAATAAAACAATGATTGAATTCGGCTTTTGTATCATATGAAGAGTTATGGAGATCTCGGAGGGTGTTATCCGTCGAGGCCGATAACACCCTCCTCGATCTCCATAATTCTTCATAAGATACTCAGCCTCATTCATTAATTGCTAATTATACAAGTTTATGCAAACTACTCACATGATATAACAGTTACGTTACAAGTGTTAACAAGAAGACGACAGTCTTGTATGCACTGTGAACACCTTCCTAAACGAATTTAATCTTTCTTTACCCTACCAATTAAATTTTGTTCCTTCATTATGATGAGACACTCCATTCCAAGGATGTGACATTACTTGTAGGGCTCCCCATGTCCCGGAACTGATATCCAGGTGGAATGAACAACTGGTTGATCTCTATCTTGGGGTTGTACTTTCTTGCTTTTTCATAGAAAGCAACGATTTGCTCTACTGTTGATTTACGGATGATCTCTAGTTGAGAATGGATGTAGCCAAGCTGACGGTAATGATTGGCCAGATGGTGCTTGTAGTCTTCATTTGTAAGCTGTATAGCTCTGTTGATGTTATCCTCTGCATCTTTGAGGTAACCTGTTAGGTCTCGCCTTATTCTTGGTGAAACAGCTTGCATGCAGTACAAGTTAAACTTGCAGAAAGCAAACTGGTATGCCACATAACCATTTGTTTGGGTTAACTCTCCCATTGCTTCAAATAGCTTGTGGGCATTTTGGCAAGCTTGCAGTACCCGTTGACCTCTCTCATTTTTCTCAGTGCATAAATCCACTGCCTTCCTTACAACAGAGTCCAGGTCTTCATACCTTGCACCTTCTTTTACAAGCTTCTTCACGATCTCAACACCTGTGGAAATGTCTGTGGTTTCATCGCTAACACACCATTTACATAATTTTGTTATGAGGGGCATGCGCCGTTCCATTTTGTCAGAGATAAGGTGTTTGTAGGGTTGAATGTTTGGATGGTTGATGTCATTGTCATTTAACTCCAAGAGTTTTGAAATTAGCATTTCAGAACCCCAAAATGAATTGTCCTCTGTAAGATGTTCATCAAGGAATCCTTTAAGTGACTTGATGGCCTCATTTTTGTCTCCCTTTGCACAAAGATTGTCAACTTCTCTTCGAATTGAGTATGCCATATACTTAGGATGTCCGGGGAGGCGAACTTTGAACTGGGTTTTACTGAACTCAAAGGATGGTTTGGGATTGTTGTTTTTCTTCATGCTTCTATAAATTGTTCTGACTCCAGTAAACCGCCCTTCAGCTAATTTCCTTTCTTTCAAGAATTCAGCAATCCTTCTGTTTCTGGAAGGAACACATGGTACTTCCTTTCCTTCAGTAAAGTCCTCTGGTTTGAGAGTGGGATCAGGTCCTGGATAGCTAATGACTTCAATGCAGTTTGGCTTGATGTGAATCTTTATAGGATTATTGTCACATTCCTCATAGCCTCTGTGGTGGAATGCATTAACAACTGCCTCCCGAAGAGCTCTCGATGGATAAGCCACAAATTCATGACCAGCTTCTTCTTTTGTTGTAGTTAGAATAAAAGACAGTGTTTCTTCGATTTGCTGGTCAATAGGCCCAGTGATAAGATTTTCCTCTGGCACTTCATCTTCATAGGTGTATATAGCAATTTCAGTTTTTGCACCCGAAAAAAAATCATGAGGGGCTGGGTGAAAGAACAGAAGAGCCACATTTCGTGGAGCCCAAACAGGGACCAGCATGTCACCATCTCTTCTATCTCCAATGTGCCTCACAAGTTTTAACCTCTGATAAAAATAAGTTGGATTCTTATCTTCTTGATGATATAACTTGCTTCTAATGCCTTTTAAGAATCTCTTGACAAGTGCAAAATCTATATCGCCCTCTGAAAGCTGCTTGCCAAAGCCTGATAAGGAAAGAAAATTTAGATAAAAAAGTTAATGTCCCTGACAGAAATGCTGGGTTGTTCAAAGCAGGGTTAGTGGGAAATTTGAATTCAGATATAAAAGCTTTAAAAGCAAATTCATTTGTTAAAATTCTTTTTTTCAATAATTTGATGGTTGGATGCTCTAAAAATATTCCTAATCCGCCGTTTCTTTGAAGCGGGTATTTACTACAGCATCTTGGCTGATACGGATTTGGCAATAATTGCCAAATTAAAATTACGTAAATTTGATGAGTGTCGAATTACCCTGTAAAGATGAATAATTAAAGCCCAGTTCAGACGCCGAACTTTTCATGAGCCGAACCTAATTCGAATTATGGCCGACCCATATTATTTAGACCGGCTGAATTGATTCTTAATTCCAGCCGAACTAAATTCAAAAGTAGAAAAATGCTCATTTCAGTCAAACTGCTTACAAAATACACGAAGAGTTCGGCGTCGGAATCAAAGCCGTTCTAAAGTCGCTCCAAAGCCGAAATTCCCGGCAGGACTAGGCGAAAAGAGCGGCTGAGCCGTTCCAACTTGAAACAGGCGTTCCTAACTGATTCAAACGTCGAACTTTCCATGTACTTAATTCAATGTATTAGGTTCGGCCCATTAAGAATTCGGCGTCTGAACCGGACCTTACGTTGTGAGTTTGCCTTGCCGGAAATTAAAATGGGCATGCAGTTTTTCCGGATTTTCTATCCAAAATCAGTGGATTTCGAATGCATCTGTTATAAATCAAAATGAATGTCGCAAAAGGATTCCTGTTGGGCGAAATCCATCTATGAGTTTGGTGTTAAATGTTTTCTGATCCGTTAATCAAAGATTTATACGCGTGACGTGGAATAAATTATTTTGTATGTATGCTGTTATGCATAACACAGAGGCGGAGGAGCGTTTTGAAACATGTGGGGGGCGTATCTTCCACTCAGCCATGCGCATACCCTTACATAAATTTTCCAAAATGCCCTTTGTTGGCACAAGCGAACCTCTTTGCAATTTTCATAGTGTCTAGTGTGTTCGTAATCGATTTGTGACAATGCATCAGTTGGCAGTTTTTTAGGCGTTCCTGTTTCATGGTGCTTCTTGGGTAGTTCTTAAGTCGTCTGTGGGCAAAAATTTAATGTGCACCCTGAAGCCGCCGATGTCGGCTCTGCCACCTATGTTACATATATATTGGATTCTCCTTAAGTTTCTTCAATTAAAACTTTTCAAACTGGTCAGGGGATAATTTCTGAGTCTTTTTTTTTTTTTATATAGAAGGCGTGTGGGAGAAATAGTCATCATTTTAAACTACCTGAGTCGAACGCCCTCCTGTCGTCGAATGGAATCTTGGCGTGCATGTGTAGCAGTCGACGTTCCTCGTCTGGTGAAGCCTTCCTCGTTTCTGTAGCTCGCCTGATGTAGTAGCGATTTTCCCCTTTCTCGCTTTCCCTACACGTATGGGGTCGGTTATCGGAAGCCATCGCCCAGATCACCAGTACATGCGTCCTCCCTCCTTCCACTTTAATGACTTCGGGTGAAAGGATAGGGAAGTATTCAGGCTTGATGTTCGCTCGACATGCGCCCATGATCTCCTTTTGAATTCGATCGAGGTCCCTAGCTGGAACACCAAGAGGCGGAAGAATGATCTGGCGGTTACCTGCGTCATTTTCCCAATTTTCCTTCTCCTCTACACCGATAATAATGTAGCCGCCATTATCATTGTAAAAATCGTTCGCGAAGGCACAGATTGTGTGAATAACTTGCCAGTATGTCCCGCCTTCCCTCTTGCTGTGCCATGCTTTCTTAAATTCCACTCGTTGGGTTTCGACACCCTGTAGATGCAATAAATCGTTAACGTTGATGGAAAGACTTGAACAATTCGCCATCGCCATGAAAATTGTGATCAACGTCTATTGCCGTTTCACGGAAGCTCCCGCCACATAGTAATTAGAGCATCATCACGTGATCAATTCCAAGACATGCACATTTCCACAACATCACGCGATCTCTTTGAAAAGAGAAACTGATCTGCTGGTCACGCACGGCATGGAACCCACGTGATAGGTTTCACTTTGACGTTACTTAGTAGAGACTTTCTGTCTGCTAAATACTTATCAATAAAATAGCAGAGGAGACTTTCGCTGTGGCAGTGTTTGAAAAGCTGTAGCGTGCCCAGTGTGGTCAAAACGCGGAAGTAGAAGCACTTGCTGGGTACAACGTAACATTCGGAAATATTATTTGCAGTGAATAAAAACCGGGCAGATTCTTCCTCTATATTTTCGACAACTGTCGCAAGGGACTGTATTCAATTTGGCAAGCACATAAAAAATCTCTAGGAGTTTTCACAGTTTACATTTGTCAGGTGGATTATCGCAATCTCAACACTAAAACAACAAGGCAACTGGATTTTCATGAGGGTAATGAGCAGTATACTATTTTGAAAACTAAGCCTCATTGGTGTCGAGTAAGTGTCGAGTGAGGTCGAGGTAAATCATTAATATGCATAAGGGTCGAGTCTATAACGTCACCCATTGTTATAACCTAGGGAAAAAGTGCGTTCCTCCATATTAATTAAGTGCCTTCCTCCATATATAATGAAGTGGACAGTCGTTTCTTTTCTTTTGGAAGAACACAATAGGCACAATAAGCTTGCCTTGGCTTGCCCGTTAAGTAACTTGAGCCCGGTTTTCGCACCGTCTATTAAAAGAAAAATAGGAATAAGAGAAGCGATCACCTAGCAACGCGAGAAACGGCTTCTTATATCTTATTTAGCGCTAAAACCAGGATATATAAACAAAACTCATACAGAAAGTGGAGTTGAAAAGTCTTTATGATTTAGTTTACGTCTTTTTATTTAGCGCTAAAACTCGGATACATAAACAAAACACACACGCACATATACACAAAGTGGAGCTGAAAACTCTCTATTTCAATTCTGTCTGACTATTATAGAACCGATTTCTCCTTTCTATCTCGAGGGAATGAAAAACTATTAACGTCTCAGCGTTTCACGCGCCGTTGGTCAGGTAATTATGCGAGTTCGCAAGCCCACCGTTGAATACAAATTAGCTCTGCAGTAAAAACCCCAAGGGAGCATCTTGACGTATTATTATAAAACAACTAATAACTTAACAAGGATCAATTGATTAAACACGCGATTAATAATTGCTAGAAAAATATGAGACACGTTTCTTAAGACACAAGAAATCAACTTTATGACCCCTTATCATGAAATAATTGCAAAAAGATTAGATTAAAGATTCTATTAAAATAGTCAAAGAAAGCTAGCTATCTTTTTTTGCTACGTTTACCTTCTCAATTTTTTATCCCCTCCTCCACAATGTTATTATTTTCCCTCCTCCTCCTCATTTTATTATACATATTTTCCATCCACGACCACGTCGACCCCACATCGACCCTACATCAACTCCACATCGACCCTACATCGACCTTACATCGACCCTTGATACGGTACGATCGTACTCTTGGCAAAAAAACAAAACAAAACAAACAAAAACAAACAAAAGCAAACAAACCAACGAAACTAAGGAATCAATGCCTTTCAACTCCTTTTACAGCGTTAATAAATTTCTATTTCTGACAATGATGTTCTTGTCGCTCTACCAAAGTGATCCGCCTTAATCTAATAGACCTCTTCAGATTGTATTTTACTTTTCTTTTTGCAGTACAGGTCATGTGATAGTACTCTGGAGAACCAATTTCTTTCCTTTTATTCACGTGCACATCAACGCATTAAGAAACGGACAGTTTCGTGGAAAACAAACATACCGTCATACAAGCTAAAGAGGTTTATTACTCCACGGACTTTAGGCAAAATTTGTAGGAGATTTTACGATTTGTTTGTGATCACTGTAAGCGCGCGCCTAACAGTCCCTTACCTTCCCAAAAGCTCCCTCTCCAATGATCTTAAGGTTGTAGAAAGAGGTTGACCTTCTCTGTTTCTTTGTCTTAGTATCCCCTAAGTTGCCTTGCTCTTCTTTTCATCTACGTTTTACCAGGCACTAGTCAATCAAGATAGTTGAAATAAGTAAAGACTATATGGACTGAAATGAGTCTTTAGCAGGACTTGTCGTTTTGTAGGATCAATTGAGGGTTCTCGGTAACTGACCACCAACCCCTCCCCAAGTCTCTATTTTGCCCTAAGAGTAGGTAAGTGTTAATGTCGACTTAGGGGACGGATAAGTGGTCAGTTACCCAGAAACCTCGTTTAGTAATATATAACTTAAAGGTATGTAGTTTTGTAACGTAACTTCAAGAGAAGTTATTCTGCTGATACTGTAGATGATCTGCTTCCAAGAACCGTCCTATTGACTTACTTTTAAAATTCCTTTCTCCCTTTTAGATTTTCTACTCGAGGCTATGGTCCAAATACAAATAAATGTTTATTTGCGACTTCAATATACTAGCTACATCATGTTCTTAACGCGCGGGCCCTTCGTAGACCTCAGTGCCTAGTTTAAAGAGTTTCCAAAGCTTAGTGCACCAGCGATTTCAATAACAGCTAAATAAGGCCCTTAAAATCTTGTAGCTGAAAGTCGCCAGTTGCGCTCTGTCAGAAACAGTCAATTATGCGAGTTTTTTGGTAAAGAGAATGTGGGTTATTAACTAAAGGTTAAAAGAAATTGATATTGATGTGTTAGTCCTTAGCTTTAAAACGAGCAAACTCAACCAAACAGTCTTTAATCAGGGAAAACTCAAATCAACTTCAATCAACTTACAAGAACGTCCCCGAAAACGCTTTTTACGAGTTTGCGATATTATGTCAGCGGTATTGACCACTACTTCATAATATCACATCTCCCTTCTCATGAAAAGAAAACTTATTTACAATAAAGCAATCAAACAATCAGTCAAACGATGACAGTTCAAAGTCCTAAACAACGTTCCTTAAACAAAATCTCGTAGTCGTCCAGGTCTATGAATGACTCTACCAGATCTTTGCATCACAGGTGGTCCTTCCACAGGCAAAGGGGTACTACTAGCTGGCAGGTTTTCTTGGGATTCCAAATCCAACTGTGGCGATGGTTCCTTGGTCTTTACCAAGTGTCTTCTATTTCTCCTGAACATACTTCCTTGGAGATCTACCTCTTAGGAGCGAGGTGCTACTTGTTTGACAACCGATCCCTTTCTCCACAACTCTTCTTTGTCTGATGGCAGCGGTTTCATGGGCACTGTGTCTCCGGGTTGAAGCTCAGGAAGCTCTTTTGTTCCTTTGTTGTAAAACAGTGCTTGTTTCGTCTTTCTTTCTTTGAGCTTGTCTTCAGTTCCCTCCATGATCTTTGGTTGTAACAAAGTTCCTGCTGTAGGTAACAGTGTCTTTGTGCGTCGTCCAAACAATCTTTGTACTGGTGATGATCCAATACTGGGTGAAGGTGTGTTGCGCCAGTCCAAAATGTCCAAGTATGGATCTTGTCCACTTGCCTTTGCTTTGGTTAGTAACTTCTTAGCTGTCTTTACAGCATTTTCAATCTTGCCATTTGATTGTGGATAGTGTGGTGAGGACGTTTGGTGGTCAAAATGCCAGGCGGATGCAAATTCTTTGAATTCTCTGGAAGTAAACTGTGGTCCGTTGTCAGAATACAGAGTATCAGGTATGCCATGGCGTGCGAAATGATTCTTGAGAGACTTGATAAGAGAACTTGAGTTGGTACTGGATAATTGGTTCAGTTCAAAGTAATCTGACCAGTGGTCAACGATGACGAACCACCCTTTGTTGTCAAAACTGAAAAGGTCTGTTGCAACATGAGACCAAGGGCGTTTAGGTGGATCATGAGGTATGAGTGTTTTTTTCTGCTGGTTTGTCTGATAATTGTTACATGTTTCACATTTAGAAACACAGTCCCTGATCTCGGCGGTCATGCCAGGCCAAAACAGGACATCTCTTGCTTTATTTAAACAGCTTTCAATACCAAGGTGGCTTGAGTGTACTTGCGTTATCATGTGGGACCTGTTACAGGTACAATTACTCGATTTCCTTTGAAGAGGATACCATCTTGGACGCTGAGCTCTTCTTTGAAGTCAAAATATCTCCTGATTTCTGATGGGACTTCTTCTTTTGTTTCTGGCCAACCAATCTTGATAATATGTTTCAACTGCTGAAGACCTTCGTCAAGTTCAGTTTTTCACTCGTGTTCACTCGTGATTGGCAGAAACTCGACCATGCTGATCTCTTCAATGGATTTGATTAGATACTTGATTGCTTTATTGTAAATAAGCGTTCTTTTCATGAGAAGGGAGATGTGATATTATAAAGTAGTGGTCGATACCGCTGACATAATATCGCAAACTCGTAAAAAACGTTTTCGGGGACGTTCTTGTAAGTTGATTTGAGTTTTCCCTGATTAAAGACTGTTTGGTTGAGTTTGCTCGTTTTGAAGCTAGGGACTAACACAATTGACTGCTTTCATGATCACATAAATGCTTTTGACGTTTTTTCAGTGTTCCCGGACAGTCCGCGGGCTGACTGTGAAGCAAGTCCACAAAACCTGAAATAAGTCAACATTTCTAAGCCTGATAGCGGACAGGCAAAAATCACAGTCAATCATCCAATAAGATTAATCCAAGGGTGGTTAATAGGTGATAAAAACAAAGCGATCGTGAGAACAAAGTGGGTCATTGGAGAGCAACGCTACTACATGGAATAAACATACTTTTTGACTTTTTTCTTGCAAGAGTCTGTTTTTTCTTTTTCTTTAACCTCATTATACCAGCTGTAACACATCCGATGATGAATAATGGATATAACACAATTAGCAACTGCCAAGCAAACTTTGAATAAAAGACAGCTAATCGCCATTAATAGAAGGGTTAAATCTCCTAAGTGAAGTCTAGCCTGCGTAGCAAGCGTTTCCGTTTGGTTTCGGAGCAAAGAAAGACCGAGGAACGGGATTCTCGGTTTTAGCCGCGCGAGAAATGAAACAAGAGCCAAAAAATGAAAGTAGGGGGAGGGGGAGGGGAAGGAAGGTTTCCTTCCTTTCTTCTCCACCCCCTCCCTGGTCTTTTACTTGCGCCATTTTTCGCGCGGTCTTTGACTCTCGTCCCTCGTTCTTTGCTCCCACGGAAAGGCTTGCTACGCAGTCAAGACTGTCAATAACGAAAATAAAGAAACCAAAAAGGAACAACGTAGCAAAGAAAACTGGATCAAAGTGAAATCCCGGACGTATCAAATCTTTGAAGAACCGTTTGTGAGGTGATTTGAAAATCTCACGCTCGTTTTTTAATACTCACTTATACGCGAGTTAGGCTGACTCATACTTATGACAAACTATCTATACAGGTCTTACCTCTGGTACTAAGGTAGCTAAAAAGGCGTTTGTGCTAATTCAATCTAATCAAAATGTATTGCGAAATTAAAAGTGGTAAAAATAAAGGAAAATTCATTTCCGTTATGAGTAATTTGCTTGCGTGGGCCAGCGTGCGCACTTCAGTTTCATTTCTCAGTCAGCCTTGTCCCCAGGCTATCCCAGGGAGCCGAGGAGGCTTGAAACCGAGTGTGAACTACCCAAAAAGCTAGACAAGTGACGTCACATCCAAAATCACTGAGGACGACTGGGAACGAGGCTGCGACGTAGCAGGTGACTTTTGCAAACACTGCGTTCCTTTTGGTCAGCAACATGATTGTTACAAACGGTTGCCATGGACACATTTTTTGTTTTTGAAAACAGAAAACTTACAGTAAATACCAATAAGTAAAAGTTAGTACTTAACAAAAGGTTACACGATTTTTCTGACATATATAACAAGAGTGAAAATACTAAGTTGTGATTTTGTAGAGTGAAAGCAAGAAAATTCTTAGCCGGAAATTGGCATAACAAATTTTTTTAAAATGTTTTTTTATTATTTCGTTTTTTGACTACTGCTTCACGAATAGGTCTCTTTCTTCTGTTTAAATCATTAAATGGTTTGTCCTGGTTTCAGTTTTTCCTAAATGCAAACTGATCAAAGGGAGTCTTATCTTATGCAACCTTGAAATTGCTGTCATCTCTGTGCGTTAAAAAAAAACATTTTTTTTCTGCAATAGACAAGCGACTAACTACTTTCTTACCTTTTCCCACTACCTTTTCATGTAAAATACTGAAAGATGCTTTGTAATGCAGGATAGGTAGAAACAAAAGGCCTGTAACTGGACCTTTCATCGCTGCTCTGTACTTAGCATTCAACGCCAGATCATACTGAAAGATCTATTGCTGTTCTATGAAATGGCGTCATAATAGACATTTTCTGCGCGCGAGCAAAAGAACTTCTGTTCCAAAGTTGACGAAAAGAAACCGTTGCTGACTTTGTGAGCGTATTTATTATGTAAGGTACGTTGTTAATTGGGCAGAGGGCCAAAGTTTAAAAGAAAAAACTACTTCAGACTTCCTTAGTAGCGTAATAATAGCGTTTTTTCGCGGCAGGATTAGCTCAGTCAGTAGAGCGCTTGAATGCAGAGTGGAGGTTGTAGGTTCGATTCCCAGGACCGGACCAATACTTAGGGTATTAAAGTAACTGAGAAATGAAGGCATTCCCTTAATTGCACTGCAAGCGGCTAGACCTTCGCGTGCCGTTTGGGATGACCAAGGTAAAATGGCGGTCCCGTCTCTACAATGTAGTTGGAGCCGTTAAAATAGTGCTTTCAATTTTACTTTCGTGCTAAATACCTTGATACTCAAATAAAGTGCATTTTTTTCTCCGCCCTTTCTTTTTTTTCCCTTTTTACGCGTAAATTGTGCCACAGTATTTTGCTGCCCTATATTTTATTTCTATTTTAATGCTGATGTCAACTGGCTGCTTGGCTCCACTAGCCCCTATGGTTATCCCAGGAAGTCACTGCTCTCAGATTTTACTTTCCATTTTTTTGTAATTCATTCAGTGGGCAGCAAGACTGAGCAGAGTACATAGTTCTCGTTGTTGTTTCCCAAAAAATTCCCTTTCCCTCTTCTTATCCTTACCTCCTACGTACCCGGCTACCAGGAGCAGTACGCTCCTGCCGGCTACTGATCAAACATAAGACCCTCCCTCCTCAGGTAATGGAAAAACGTGCCCCCCCCCCCCTGGCCCCCCCCCCCCCCACCATCCTTATACTTTTGCTCTTAGACTGCGAGCAGTCCCTTATTTTTCTTTGCAAAGTTACTGCACGCAAAGCCTAAGCACGCGAGAAACGAGGGCGTAAGCCAGAGAAGAAAAAATCACTATATAATAACATCGTGGTTTGCAATCGCACTGGATGAGATCAAGAACTAGACGGATTTTAAGAGAAAAAGAGGACTGCAAGCAGTCTATTTTTCCGATATTTTGTTCTTTGTTGTCTGTTGCATGTCTTCGGTCAATTATTTCCTCGTATTTCCGGTCACGTTATCCTAATGTTATTTTGGGGGGACTAATTCAGGAAAATCGTTTCTGGTACCATAGTTAATACCCTTAAAGTCTTAGGGGTAAGAAAAGCTAACGAAAAAAAAAAACTGATTTGTCTTCCCCCGATTAAAGAATTCGGGAGACGGCCAAGCATTATAGCTGAATTATCTAGGACCGCTAAATGTAGACCAGTGTAGACCCGCAGGATTCTTGGTTGAAAAAAAAAGGCCAATATTATATCAATCCGGGCGTAAGAGCTTAAGTGCTCCTTTGCAGTGTGCCCAGGTTCAGGGGGAACTTCCATACTAAAATGACGGGGATGCTGGTCTCAGGCCTAGGGATAGGTGAATACACTATTTCACAGTTGTGGGCTTAGTATTCTAACCTTTAAGTGAACGGGAGGCTGCTTGACCTTGTTTTGATACAAACCTCCTTCCTTTCTCATGAAAATTTGCTTTTGACTTTCCAATTTAACGCGGCGCCCTTCAGCCCTTTGCTAGTTTAAAACTTGTAGCGCTCTCAACAGACACTCCCGTAAGCGGACAACCGAAATGAAATCTCAATCGCCTCTGAATCATCACAATGAATTTATATCAATTTCAGTCTTTTCACATACCCAAGTGCTGGTTCAAAACACCACTTTGATTTTATGCTTGTTACTGAATTCTCCTGACAACATCGCCTGAACAACATTATAGCCAAACACTCACGACAGTTTTTTTAACATTCCCTATGTTTATTTGTAGCTGGGCAAGCTCCCATAAGCGGCCATCTCACCATTATCGTAAGTGCTCAGCTCTAGTTTATGTTACGGACACCTTTTTCGTTTCCCGAGGGTGTCCGCTTGCGAGAGCTTTCAATGTATTCTTGTTAGGAAAGCCAAGAAAAAGGGTCCTCTCGCCCTAATCAGTGAATTTATCCCTTATTAGATCTCTATGAGAATATTCAGTATAGTCTCAGGAGCTTGTAGCTGCCTTGCCAGTCTCTGAAAATATCTCTTCGTGACCTTATAAGCCGGAGAGTACAGCGTTGGGCGTGGTGACTGGTGCTGTTTTTTGATACTTTAAGGAACGGTTTCATTGTACTACTTAACAATTTTTCCGTACGGGGCATTCCGTATGGAAAAACAGGACTACCTTTTCAGATGTTCCGTTGCTCCTAGAAATTTTCTGCTTGATGGAACGACCCAAAAAGTCGTTAAAGTAGTTACTTCCCAACCGGATTTTCCGGAAACTTTTTGTGAACGGTAAACAAGCACCGTCTTCAAAATAATCCCATGATGCTCCTCGACACAACACTGACCTAGTCTCAAGCTCTTCAAAATGGCCAATCAGTGTAACAGGCCCCGGGGGGTTCTCCCTATAATGGCTCATACGGCCCCCCCCCCTGCCCCCCGAAATGGGTACCTTTTTGAGGCTTTACGTATATCGAAGGGTTGAAGTATATGACAGGGTAGGGAAATCTGTCATTCCGGTCGGTAAAAAGAGCTCAAAAGGTCTAACACATGCATTTTATGGCTGAAAAAAATCACGAAAACGTTCTCGTTTTGTGATTTATTCATATTTAAAGGACAGTGCATTTACGGCGGTTGAAAGGGATGCAAAGTTCTAAAATAGGTATGAGAAAGGGGCACCATTTGTCAATAGAAGGTATACGAAAGGGGTACCTTTTATGTCAAAAATGGTATAAAAAGGGTAAAGGAGTCGGACCACGTAGCGCTTATGGCGCAGCCTCCCCATGTAAACCTTTTCAAGAACAACACCGATAAACAGAAAGGAGTCTGGATTAAATAGAACTTTGTTCTCGGTACAACCTAACCCAATGGTTTCTGTGAAATTGTTATACGTTCGCGAAAATGCTAAAGCAGTAAATAGTCTGGATTAAATAGTGCTTTGTTCCCAGCACAACCTATCCTAATGGTTTCTGTGAAATTGCTTAGTTTGCATAAGTGCTAAGCAGTAAACAACCAGAATGTGTCAAAAGAAGTGATACAGCAAACCCGTGAGTCCAAAGAAAAAAGAAAGCCATGCTAGCGATGTATTAAAAGTTATCCGCCCAACTTTAAACCCACATCGTCTCCTCTCAGCGTAGGCAACAAACATGGTTACTTGACTTCGATCTCTTAATGGATGACCTTCACTCCAGTAGCCAGTTGTTCTGCAGTTTATTTTCTCCCAGAAACCTTAAAAAAGAAAAACGGACAAAATACTGCAATTATGAAATCGTTAGAATCAAGGTACCACAACATACTTCATTATTGTACTCCTGGTTTAAATTCTTCTTCAGAGATTCCCATTATGACAGGAGACTTCATAGACTGTAGACCTTGCTATAGCTTGCGTGGCAGGCTTTTGGACGAGGAATTTGACACGCGAGGGAACACAACGGTGCGCTGCGTGTCCCAGGCTTCAACGCTTTCCCTCCCTCTAGGAATCCAAGTTTTACTAAAAAAAAATCAGTAACCCAGTACCTGAAAACCGGAATCCACAGCGTGAAGTTCTGAATTTAAGACCAGTGGCGGATCCAGGGGCCACTTATTGTTACACCAAACTGAGGCCCGAAGGGCGGAAAAAAAATTTTTTTGAGACCAGGTCCCCGGTTTTGTCAGGGTCGGGATGACTTGGACCCCCCCCCCACCCCCACCCCCCTATCTAAAGGTCTGCATCCGCCACTGAAGACTAGCAATTACTCAGAGACTGTAAAAGTAACTTTGTAGCGGTAGATTGCAGCAATGAATTAATTTCTAAATTCTCCTTACCACTACAAGAATTTGTGATCATGGCAGCAAGCATACAAGGAAGAAGAAACAAGTAAACGTGGCAAACAAAGAATAAGCCGAGGTACACCAGGTTCAGGGTTGGTGTGCCATACTTATTCCTCTCGAGGAATTCTTTGGAAATGTATATAACTGATAATACAACTCCTGCACCGTAACTGAACCAGTGAACCACGAACCACACGCTGTAGGCTGATACAGTGTTGAAGACTATTGTACACAGGTGTTCGTGAATTTTTTATGACGTCATCAAGAGTCTTATTTTGCTCTAGGTTCTTGATATGTCTAAAGGCATCTTCTGCAAAAGTACCTGGTATATAAAATAGAACCAAGCCTGATTATGGTGTTATGAGCCAGAGCGGGATCACGAATGCATGAGCAAAAATACAAGTGAAACAATACTGAATTAAACAGCTGGGAGTAACTGAAACGGAGCGAAAAAATTTGTAAAAAAAAATTGTAAATTGTAATTTGTTTACCCACGGAGCACTTAGGAGTTGATGAGAACTCGTAAAAATGTTTCCGTGCGTTCCAGATCGAATTGGAATTTGGAACTCTTTTTGTTGGTTTTTAAGGAGAGGGAAAAAGCGGAGTACCCGAGATAAAACCAGTCTCGGAGCATGGGATCGGGAGAACCAACAACAAACATGAAATTCAGCCCACATATGGCGTCGACGCCAGGATTCGAACCCGGCCACATTGGTGGGAGGCGAGTGCTCTCACCCTTGACGCCCCAAGAGGTGTAGCAACTGCAGAGCGTCAATAAGCTTGTATCGCCGGAAATAAGAAAAAAAATTTGAATGTCTCTAGATAACTTCATTCTTGCTCGAAATGCGAAGTTAAAACGAACAGTGAGTTGGTAAAAAGTTTAAACGCTAATAGGTGCTAACCGCTGAAGCTTTGTATCAATGGCAACCCAAAAGTGACTAGTGAACTGATTAATTACCCTTTAATTTTTTAACCTGGGCGAAACAGTCCTGTATCATATCTGCTTTGATCTGGGACAGATGTCCATACAAACCTTGACTGCATTATTAACTGAGTTTTGGACCTATAAATCAGCTAAGAAACTCCGGGCAAACAGTGAACAAACTGAGAGACAGGTCATACATGAGATGATCCTAATTTGGGGTATAATTGTACAACAGTTTTTTTTGAGTTGGTTGATAACGAACTTCCCGGCGGAGAGAGGGGAGAGGAGAGGGTAAGAGGAGGGGAGCTGTCAGGAAGTGGCCTTTTTAAAGTATGACTTACAAAGCGCAAACGAGCTGACAGCAAACACATGGCAAGTTGTAATTGCTGTCCATTGTGCGAAAAACTGCGCACCCACTCCAGTTGCGAGTATGTCGAAAAAGGAATTTCGAGGTTGACTCCAAATTATGGCATAAAACACTGCCACTGAGCATAGAAACAGCGTTGTTATAACAGTAAATGCAAAACACAAGCAGCAGACGTTATTTTTGTGCACATCATTGTTATTTGCATCCAGAGATTCAGAAGGAGTTGCAACGTAAGCGTTCCTTCCTGTTGCGATGAAACAACCAATGAAAAGAAAGTAAGAAATAACAGCCGCGACTGTGAAGATCGTGTAAACAGCGTTTGCAATTTTCCTGTCATCTTTATGATGTGAAGTCTTGTTCTTATCCGTTGAATTTTGTAGAAAGCCGCAATCAAAGCCGGGACAACCAAGCACAACGTAAAAATCGTAAACAGCTTGATAAACTACGATTGTCCCGACTAAAACCCGAGGGATGTAATTCCACCGTCGATGTCCCCATAGACCAAGAGAACAAAAACAAATCTTGAAAATAGCCAGCACCAAAGTATCACATTTACTTCTTTGCAGCGGCTTTCGGCCAGAGCGGAATAGACGGAATAAGTCGATCTGCTGGCGATCGCGGACTGGAAGAGCAACTACACCATCCGAGGGTACATTGTCCTCCTCTTTTACAAGGGATTGTTCCTCACTGGCCATTTTTTCAAATTAGGGTAGCATTTTCTTCAGACGTAATGTACCATGAGATCAGTTCCCTTCATTTACCTCACCATGATCAATAAGTTTTACTTTCGGTTTCAGTGTGCTCCTATTTGCATAGCCTCCCAAGGCAGACGTTCTAAGGGGTTCGTCGCGCGTTCCTGTGGGTCAGGAACGCGTGACGAACCCCTAAGAACGTCTGTGTGGGAGGCTAACCTTTGCACGACCGGAAAGCTTGAAAAAGCAAATATTTTCTACGTAACGCAACGTTCTCACCAGTTTTCAACATGACAAAACACTACCAACGTGCAACATTAACAATGTTTATTGGTATAGATGATGTCGCATTTAAAGAAATGAAATTAATCAAATCAAAATTAAAACCAAAAAGAACTATAGTAGAACAAAATAAGATTAAACAAAATGTAGTACGATTCAGTAACAGATTAATCGTCTCGCGATGAAATAATACACTGTCCCCTTATAGAGCCAGAAATATACCCTCGAGTCTGGCAGAAATAATCGAATTTGTACGCGAAAGGTCTGTAAAAACGACATTTCATCAGTCCTGATTACGTCGTTTTCTTGTTCTGTGTTCAACACCACCGAAGCACAAAGCACGGATGGGCTCCATTATCAGCCGGTGTTCGGGAAATGAGCCCGCGGGAGGAAAAAGATCGGATCTGAGGACCCGATAGTGCCGCGGAAATCACGAGTCCACCTGCGTCCTTGGCAACCACGTCTTGTAAAGCTGCGGACGTGAAGAATGTCATCAACGAGTTGTTTTATGAAATATCACGCAGTCAGATTCATTTGGTTACCTATTTCACCTTTTAAAATTCAATTAGCAATCTAGCTGGTGACAACAGCAAAAATGTCACTGACAAAATAAGAGTGCAAATGATATTTTAAATGAGAGAGGTAAGGGACACGTCTTTTTTTCCTCTTTCAGTTTGAAGGTTAAGTAAGGCACTTCAGCGATATTACTAAATTCTCGTGAGAGTATCTCGGATGCATTGCATTTTGATACATAGTTTTCAATGGCCCGACTCACGACAATTTACTCAGAGAGTATATTAATACTGATATTTATTTTCAAATAGAAGATAGTTGATACTAAGTTAAGAAGAATCGCTTTTTATCCTAAGTATCTAAGGCACCTGCTGTATAAGCTCCAGCACTGGCAAAGGGTTTCGTCGATGTTCACAGAGTGATATTAGATCGAGTAAGTATATAATTGACATTTTAATAACACAGACACTTAGCGTCAGTAAGCTATCCTAAGGTGGGCGGTGTGATTATTAGACACTTACATAAACGTCCATTTCAAATCATATCACTTTTTGTCAAAATCATTTTTTATCCGCAATTACAAAGTCGAACAAAGGGTGGATCTTGGGTCCGTGCACACTTCGGCCAATCTAATTTTCCATTTTTCCAACAAAAACGGAAAAAGGAAATATTACTTATCCTTATCATATTTACATATTTTAAAGTACAGCCAAAAATAGAAAAAAAAAATGATCAGGAAAATTGATCATTTTTTCATTTTTCTAATTTTGAAGTCCGCTTCAAAAATACAAAAAATACTGTAAACGGCTAAAAGCGATATTTTGCTATTTTTTATTTTCTTGCTATTGTTAGAAAATGAGAAAAATGAAATAATCTCCGATTCCTAACTCATTTTTCTATTTTTCCGTTTTCGCAAAAAATAGAAAAACGGAAAAATGAAAAAAATGCATTTATTCGCACCATTTTTTCATTTTTTCCATTGTGTTCAAAAAATGAAAAAATAGAAAAATAGCATACCTATCGCCCAATTTTCCAAAATTCCATTTAATAAGAAAAATGAAAAAATTACAAGTGTTACGAGCAATTTTCTATTTTTCCATTTTTAATAAACAGAAAAACCGAAAAGGATGCACCCTTTCAGACAGTTTTTCATTTTATTGAAAAATGGCGCAGAAAAGTGAGAATTTATGAATATTTAACGGTAAAGAAAAGAAAAACCTAATTCGTATCCACTTTCGACTGACTAATTTGGTTAGAAGATTTACACAGGGTCGGCGGAGATGTGGGGGAATTTGGGGGGAGGGGCTTTAGTTGACGAGATGTGGACGTAGTTCCATTCACTTTTGAAGTTTATTAACTTTTCTCGATTTCCCTGAAGATTTGAGTTATCGGGAGTCGACTGTGGATGAAAGCAGTGGGAAAACCGTACCGTACCAGCCGTGGAAATGAAGAATATTACAAAGGGTAGGAGGGAGGCGGAGAAGGGGGGAAAATTGGTACGGGAAAGGGGGGGGGGGGTTAACTCAACGTTTTTCATGCCAGCAACACCATGGTCCCAGCACAAAAAAAGCGGTTCGTAAGAGAGATTAAGGGGAAGGAGTTAAGAAGAAGGTCGTTGAACAGTCACATGTACAAAATAAATCAAGAGCACGCCAGTAAAGAGGTCAGACCGTTTTAAATGAAATAGATGCTCAAAAGTAGACTGGTTAGCCTGCCGAAATAAGGGATCTTGCCGCAAAACGGGTGTTTTAGGATAAGATAATAAGTAAATATATTGAATTAATATTATGGAGGGCAAACATCACGAGGCGCCTGGTATACACTCGCGGGAGAGAACGTCTTAATGCTCTGGCCCATACATTTGTTTAAACCTTGGATAACGACCATCCACCGGACAAATCTCTATCCAGCGGCCAGATAATTGTTTATGTATTTCAGGAAAACCAATTGCGTTATCTAGTGGATAGTTATTTATCCAGCGAAAAGTGTTATCTACCTTTTTAGTGACTCAGCCCTGGAGAGACCAGAGCAAAGTTCAAGGAGATGAAGATATGCATTGTTCGTTTTTTGAGTAGCCCTTTGTCTTTGAGCATAGTTTAAAATATCTGCTGTTTTCTGTGGCAAAAAAGTAATACTCGCGGCACAAAAGAGGCTCTCTTCGCCGGCTCTTATGCAAATCCACCGTCTAACAGATAATAATAAAGTTGTCTCGTTGCCAAAAAAAAAATCAATTTTTGAAGTTCCAAAAT